AAGAGACCAAGTCAGCACAAGCATGCACTGTGCTATACAAGTAGTACTGTATGTTCTTAGGCAAGAATGTACAGTGCTACTACGCAGAGCTCAGAATGAAATGGGAACAGTGATGGTGGTTCAGGGTTTACAGCCACCTCTGTGCTAGACTTTGACAATTATTTATTACCACTAATATTGTGCTTTGTAAATTTATACAGTGCTTTATGAAGTAAGACATGTTTCCTATTTTAAAGATCTTATAATCTTGTGGGCTGATAAGGGGTTCAGATTATCCCTTGGATGTTCATAAATAGCATTAGCGCTAAGAGTTTTATTAGCGCTGGGTCCTTTCAAGCCTGTGGCTCTTTTTTTTTCTTAACAAGACTTCCCTAGTCAGGTGCTGAAATAAGGATTTCTACAGCATGATGTTCCAGGCTGGAATAATGTGGGCATTCTTTGGTGTTACTTGTAGTGAAAGAGCAAAATCCAAGCAGAGTCCCAGCACAGTGGCTGTTGCTCTGCATGGGTTTAATCCACAGCCTTTGCTTGCCTCTCTGAGACTACAAATCTGGAGTTTGGGGGATGGCAGCAGAGAGCAGGCTCAGGAGGTTTGTGTGTGTGCTTGCGCGTGTTTTAAATAAACAAACAATGCAACAGCAACTACAACAAATTGTGAGCGGTGCTAATTTGTTATAGTGCTGTCTTGCCTTCTGGCAGTGTTGATTTAGGAGAAGCTGAGCAGACTGGAATGGATGCGGGGAGCTGCCTGTTCTCTTGCTCTGTATATGGTTCAGCATAAAATACTTTTAAGGATCCTGTCCTGAGGAGCTTTTGGATTACAAGATAAAGCATGTACATAGGCTGTCAATACCCTTTTCAAAACCAAATCTTGAGCAAATGTACCTTTCCCCCTGCCTTGCTCCACCCGTTCTACTTTCTTAAAATGAAGTGAAGTTTTAAGTCTTAATTCATGACAAAAACCTATAATTTGTGTACTTTGAGGACTGCCAGGAAATCCTTTACCTTGACAAGAATAGCATGTAGGGAAGGAAGGAGGAAGATCCTGTGCTTTGGACTGTAGCAAAGTTTTCAACACCTCATGACCTTGCTGGGCTGCCTTTCATAACGTGCCTGGGGCTATAATCCCCCAGGCTGAGAAGCTGTCTGTCAGGGAGGGCTGGCCAAATGTGCCTGAGGTATCTGCAGCCCTGGACTATTGCTGTGCAGGGCTGCAGGATAAAGCCAGCAGGATGGAAACCTTGCTGAGAAGAGATGGATTTTGGAAACATACATAGAGTGACTTCCCTGCAGTCTGTGAGCTGAGTTTAAATAATGCTTGAAGTCTCAAGGGAAGAAGACAGTGGATTAGAACAGTCAAAATAAGAAGTAGGGGTTGAGGAAAAGCTGCCAAAGAAATGAATTCTGAAAGTGAATAAACTATGCTTTCCCATTAGGTCATCTTCAGCTTGGAGAGATTTGGATGCAATACAGGCAGCTTGCAGAACTTTGAGTCTGTTAGGCCTTCTGCTTTTACAAGCAATAGTGGCTTTCTGGCCTCCTCTCATTTGCCAGGCTCAGTTGGCTGAGACTTCTTGGTGGCTGCAAAGAATCAAAGACAAAGGATTCAGTGTGATGGGTTAAGCATACGACTTGGAGGGATGTTTGGTAGGCAGTACAGTCTTAATACTGCTGGGACCAATTTTTAGAGTGCTTTGCTTGAAAGACTTCACCGAAGTGAAACTTAAAACCAAAGATTTCATTGCTAAGTACAAGGCTGTGTATGGTCAGTTTTGGGGGAAAAGAAAAGAAAAGTGGATAAGTGCTAAAAGTGCTTAAAAAATTTAAGGTATCATTCATATTAAGAACTGTTGCTGGATCTACAGCTATGGGTAAAGGGAATGAGATTTCTTCTTATTGGAAAAAAGCAAGGCAGCAATGCTTGTTTTGTGTGCGCTGTGCTCACTGCTCTGGCTTATGGTGAGAGAGATGACATTTTGGTCCAAGACACTAACTATACCCCTCAGCATGGAAACTATTGCAAGCTCATTATGTAGGCAGTATTGTGTATGCAGATGCTCCTGTGCAGACTGGATCAATCTGCAGAAACGTTTGCTGAGTCCACACAAGAAATGAAAATAAACAGGCCGATTGGGAGGATCTTTATCAAACCTGTTCCCATTTTTCCTAGTACTCTGAGGTTTTGTTTGCTCTAACAAACCATGTAACTAAGGAGTCTGAGTCACAGTCACTAGTTCCAGCTGCCTGCCTCATCCCTGTCCTGGAGATCCCTCCCCAGTTGCAAGGACAGTTGAAAGGGTCATGCATTTGCTCCAGTATTACTGCATTTCACAACCTGCTATCAGCTTGTACCTGTGGTGACTCAGAGCCCTAAAGCAGTGCTGCAGCTGGGAGTGTCCTGTAGGACAGTCTTGGCTGGAAGAGGGTCATGACATTCCTCCTCCTCCACCGTGCAGGTGTGCTCCTGCCCTCAGAGATGCTCAGCATGAGGTTGCCACCCCATGCACCCCCTGCCAAGTGGCCTACCTTACTGAATGATAGGGCTCAAGAATGACACTGTCTAGGATTAACTGGGAGGTAGCAATGATCCTTTAGTCATGTCCTAAATTCTTGCATTGTAAAGGGAGAATTCTGTACAGGCTCAGAGGTGGCTGGGAAACAAAAATTTTGCTTACCAAAGGGGCCTTTGAGCTACTTAATTCAATATGTTGTTGTTCTTTTCATGCAGTAGGGAGTAAATACATGAATTAAATGAGATTAGCATTGGACATTGGAGTTGCCTTTACTACTTGCAATGCAGGTGCAACTAAAACTGAGTTTGCTCAGTTGTAGGATGAGAAGAGCCCAGAGTCTACTGCTGGTCACTAAGTGGCCACAAGCTTCTGAAGCTTTGTTTTGTGCCACTGCTCTGCTTCTGAGATCAACCGTGCTCTGCAGATAAGCAGGAATTTTTAATGCCAGATTCTGGCTGACAAGATCTGCAAGGTCCATGCCTCTCCCCTTCTCCTCCCAGTAGATGTTTGGGTAGTCCTAGTCTCCTGTGTGTCAGCAGTGATAACAAATGTATAATATACAAGCACTCTGTTTAGGAGTTGGCAGGAAGCTTTATTTCTGACTGCAGTGAGATGTTCTGACGGTAGGAAACACCTTTGGTTGAAGCAGTTCTCCGCTAAACTCTGCCCTAGAGGAGAAATACAACTATGGGGAAGAGCTCTTACTTCACAGAGGCAAGAAGCAAATTTGATGTAATCTGGGTGGGAAAAACCTCATGTTTGAGCTGCTGTTCAAGAAATACTTTTATGCAGCATTCAGCCTGTGTTAAACTGAAAATTGCTGGTATTGCTGAGGGTTTTGCAGAGTTGTGATACTGGGAGATGCAGCCAGAGTTCAGGTGACCCTAATGCTGTCCAGAGCGTGATCTTCTGGAGAGGGGGGAGCTCCAAGTTCCTGGGGCTCTGGCCCATGATGCTTTAAGTGTGGTAGTTAACTGTGGGTTGGCCTGTCCATACTGGCAGTGGTCTGTTCAGACTAGTTTCAGCAAATGCTCTTGGCTGAGCACAGCCCAGGTCAGTAGGCAAACAGTTGCTTACAATTCACTTCTTCATTGTATTGATAAGATTTAAAAATCTTCAGCCTACAGCAGTCAAAACAGGGTGATCTGAATACAAAAGATCTATTATTTCAGTGTGAAGGGAGTTTGGTTACAGAGTTGTGGGGATAAGTATGCAGGTGGGAATGATGGGAACACTGTCCTGGGCCTAAGCCCAGCAGATGTTCAGGAGGAATGAACTATCTTCTTATACTCTGTCCTTTTCATGACAACCCATTCCATTTCTCAGACCTGTGTCCTCCTTTATGCTCTCTCTCTTTCAACATAAAGTATTATAGGTCTTTTTCATTTGGCCTTTTATCTTTTAAGGCTGATAATCAATAGTATTCTCACTTTTTAAATGTAAGATTTCTATCTCCAGAAAAACAGCTGGAGAGATGCAGCCATCAATGTGATAAGAGTGTTTCACTTCACCATGAGGCTCTAAAAACCCATGTTAAATCCCTGCCAGGCTGCAGGTTTATTTCTGTATGGTTTTTGGTGGCTTTGGGCTTGGTTGGTTTGTTTTCACTGGGGCAGTATCACCACTTGTAGAAAGGAACCTGTTCTTAGCATCTGCCCTGAGACTGCTCCATGATAATCCTGCTGGAGCTGATTAGAGGAACTCCATGGGAAGGATATGCACTACAGAGGATATAACCAGCCTGTCAAACCTAGGGTAGCTGTGATATGTGCCTTTCCCTGACATGGAAAATATGATATTGCTTTTTCCTTTGGGCAGGGGAGGGTGGAATTATAGATCTTAAGTTTTGCGACGCTCATACAAGCTGCAGTTCACCATGGATCAACTTGATCTCCAGTCTCCAAGAATGGAGATTAAATTATCAGTGAAGCATCATTATAAATAGGAGAGGGTATACAGTGTCGTCTTCTCTCACCTTGCACCAAAGTATCCAGCCTGGTCCGATGCCATAACATCTCTAGAAGATAATTTCAAAGGCTTGGGAAGTGGGACAGGGAACTGGGGGCAACAGAGCAGATCAGGTTTGAAGTGTTTCTTCTGCTGCCTGTACTGTGTCGGGAATGAGACCAAAGCTCTGGCACCAGGCTGCTCTTGTCATAGAGGCATTTCTACATGTTGATGATATTTCATTGCCTGAATTTCTGGGCAGAAGGAAGCTGGTGCAGACATCCTGGGATCTGGAGGTTTTGGATACATGTGAACTGGTCCCCCTGAAGCTCAGCGCTGTTGGGAGTCATGAACATAAGTGGCCAGGGAGCATCAGTAAGAAACTTGCAGAGTACTTCTGTTCTGCTTCCGTCACAGTTCAACAGCTGTGGGGAGATGGGTGGAGGGGAGGTTGTTCTAGCAGTTACATATTTAAGGCAGGTGGCTGTTTTAAAATGTACGTTTCAATTTTGATTGCAGTATTTTAATTGCGTTTAACAGCGTCCCTGCTGGTTCTCCATTCTGCATCCGTGCAGCCACGTTCTATTGATGGCCTGTTGTGATTTCAATGGAACATCATGGGATGTACCTGGCACGTCGGGCAGCACTGGATGGAGGTGCCTTTAGCCCAATGTACCTGGCATGGTAAGCGGCAACCAAGCGGTTAAATCTGCATTCTACTGCTCACAGTTTCAGCTTGTATAGCAAAGTGTTCCTGCTTCGCTGCAGTCTTGCACTGACTGGAAATCAACTTTGCTCTCCTGATTTTAGTGCTTTCATGCACAGAGCCCCTACCCTTTTCACCCATGCAGATTCCCCTTCCCTGGGAAGTTTGCCATGCAGTAGAGAAGGGCCTAGCTATGTCAAGCTCTCCTTGTTGTTCTAGAATATGAGAGAAGGGACTGGGAAATCATCTCACTCTTTTTTTTTCCTCTCCTTTTTGGGCCAGGAGCTGGTAGCAGTTGAGCAGGTATTGCCCACGTCCCAGATATCTAAATGTTGCCGCACAGAGGTACCAGACAGGTGCTCATGTCCTTAAGCAAAGCTGTGCCGTTTCTGCAGGAGTTCTGCAAGAGCTGCCTCGGGAAGTTGGGAGGGCAGCTCTGCTTGGCACTAATTGGAATGTAACAAATTAAATAAGCGCCACTTTCAGTTTGCTGATGTGGTCTCCTCTGCAAAATGACCCTCCATCCTCCATTTTCCTTCTCTTTTCCATGCCCACACCTGCAAAATCAGTTGCACATCCTGATCTGTCCTGCATGTTTTCTCTCCCTCCCCCAGCTCTGCAGACCTCTGCCTGAGTAGCTTCACATGTTGGTCTTAGCTATTTTAAAGTGCTAAATATTTGTGTGAGAAAAACAAGGGTGCTGCATCCTGTTTTCTGCTTGAGCCTTCTTCACAGAGCTTTTGCTGCTCCACTGCTAGTGATGAAAATGCATGTTTGTGCCTCAGCTTCTGAATTCTGCTATCTGACTGCTCGCAGGGGCTGGAGATGGGGAACCATTTGGACTAAGTTCCAGCACTTCTCCCCATGCTTCTTGTGAATACCTTTAAAAGTCATGGGCTAATGACCTGCCAAGTGCAACTCCTAGGGGCAGGTTAGTGGCTGTGAACCATCCACTACACTGACACCTCTGAGAGTCCTGGTTCTGTTGGGATGTGGGGAAAGAATGATCAAATGAGCCAGTGGGGAATAGGAAAGCTCTCTTCCCAGTGGGGTGATTAAGTGCTCCAAAAAAAGTTGGTTCATCTGAAACTGAAGGGTGCAGAAGTCAACTGTTTCAGTTTCACTCAGTTCCAGCAGCAGCTGGACACAGCATTTTTAATGTCATAAATTGGTGGGAGAGAGCAATGTAGGAAAGAGTGGATTTCATTTTGTCTTGTTCTTCTCCATGCTCACTGCTGCAGTGTTTGCTCAGTGCAGCTCAACTGCTTGGGAAGGTGGAGAATAAGTAAGCAGGCCACTGTCTTTTCCTGGGTCTATTATAAGATACACAGTAGACTGACGTTTTAACAGGATCTAATTTCATACATCACATCTAATCTGTTTGTTGGTTTTTATCTGCAGTACTGTTAACTCACTGTTCAGGTGCTTGGTGTCTAGCCTTCTCATCCAGCCACAAATCCTCTACGTGAAATGAGTGATTCCTTAGATCTGTTTATGATTGATTCTTTGCTTCACTGGTGTTGCTTCTTAAAAGGTAAACAATATTCATGTGCTGCAATCTATAACTCAGAGATTAAATCAAATAGCATCTCCTGCCAGAGGTTGCTAAGATAATACATTTAGCATTCATTCAGCAATTATTTTTAGGTAGAGATTTAGTGATATTAAAGAGAATCAAACCTGTAGTGAATATGTAGATTTTATACTGTTGAAAGGGGTGAAGGGATTTCTCTTCTCCTCTGTTTAGCAATTCCGTTTTCTGTCATGTCCAGAGTTTGTGCAAATTGAGAGCAAATGAAGTTCTTCCTGCTGTGTAGTGAGAGCAACACAGCTCCAGGAGCAGCCTGTGTGTTGTGCACAGCCTTGCTGCCCACGGGGTCACAGTGTGCCCCAGGCTGGGCACAGCAGCTCACAGTTACCCAGCTCCTGGGGCAATATTGTATGTTTAGATGCTGTTGGCTCTTAGCTTGCAAAGCTTTGTTTGATGTGTGGCATCTGCTTGCAGCATTACTGTATTCTGTGATTTGTGCCCTGTACTTCTCATGTCTTTGCATGTGCTGTGTGTCAGTGTCATGGTATGGTGGAGGTAGTGGAGAGCCTTAGCCTCGTTTCATTCCCTTCTAGCATGGGAGTATTTGAGCAGGTTCACTGCTCTGAAAAAAGTGTGTCTTGAATGTGAGGAAACCAAGCTCAATCTGGGAAAAGACCATCATTGCTGCTATTTGTCCAGAGCCTTCTGTAATCCTCTTTTAAATGCAAAGGGGTGAAATTTTGCACACCACATTCAGTGTTTAAAGACTGAGGCCCCAGTGAGATGTTTATGTATTATTGAGGTCTGGGGGGTTGGGTTTTTTACTAGAAATGCACTTGAGCCTTTTCTGAACCAGGGCTTCTCTGAACTGGGACTATATTTTCTCTGGGTTCTTTTTTTTTTTTCTTTTTTTTTCTTTTTTTTTCAGAAAACAGAAAAGGAAGGGTTATTACAAATGATACTGAAATACAAGAAGTATAAACCCACTGTGATTTTTTATGACTTTGGGGGGTTGTGGTGTTGTTATTCAAATGTTACAGTTTGTTGAGACACTCTCTGCAAACTAATGGATAGCAAGGGCTTTCTAAGGCTGCACCTGCCATTTGTTTGGTCAAATAATTTTTAAACTCACAGTTGTCCTTGGTCCCATGCCTTCAGCTAGAAGTGAGATTCTAGGAATGCCATGAGTTAAGGAATAATGCCTGCTTCTCTACTGCTAACAACCTTTCCAATACGCCTTTCCTCCTCCACCTCTGAAATGCATCATGGTTGGTGAAGGGTTTGTAAGTAGCCTCTATGAAATACCTGGACTGGATTTATTTTTTGTTGAGGACTGCACAAGATACACAAAGCAGGTTGCTATAAGGCTTTTGTCAACAAAGGGACATCAGCTAAAGGAGTGTTCTCTAAGCCATGCTCCTGTCCTGGTAAAAGCCCTTGGGCAATTCTGACAACATTTTAAACACAATGCTCTAAGCTTGGTTGAAGGTTTTGGTGCCTTGATTCATTACATTATTTATTTGGGGTTGTTAGATCCATGTTGGACTTCAGCTAACAAAATCATTTGATAGGCAGGGTTATACTGCTTACACCTGTCCACTGTTTTTGAAATCCACTGAAGGTATTAGCCTACCTTATACATATGTCCTACTGAACATGAACAGTTCTGTAAAATTTGACATGTGAAATAAATAGAAGTAATTTAAACAACTTGTACTATGCTAGTTTTTATGCTGAAGAACATACTCGGTAATAGTAACATTTTTCTTGAAGGTCAGTAGCAGAATTAGAATTCTAACTCTGTTTCCAGGGTTTTCTCTGTAGGCTCATTACCTGGTTTCAATATCATTTAAGGCAGAAAGAAAAAAAAGTTAAACAAAAAAAAAGTAAAATGCTAAAAATATTCTGCATTAATAACTGTTGTAAGCCTTAAGGCTTAGACAACTCAAACACAGTGATTTCTATACCTCTGCTTTAAGTGCTACATCAGTGGGAAATAAGCCCATTTTAACTTCAGTAACATCATATTATTATTCCTACTACTTTGTTTAGGCAGAAAATATTGACTGTACTGTTTTGCTTCCTTTCCCATATTTATCCTTTATGAAACACTTATAAATCATAGCCAGGGATTTTGTGTGTTACATGCATGGAAAAGCACCATGATGTTTGTAGTAAAATTGTAGTACTAGGCTGTTTCCTGCTATCTTGAGCAGGATGCAGTTATATAGTGAGATGCTGTTAAGTTGCAAGCCATGTTTTTGTCCTCCCCTATAGATGTATCTCAGTGACCCAGAATTAAGGGCTCTTACTGGCCTGGCTAGATAAAAGTGGGTATTTTGTGTCTCTGTGCTGCTGCTTCTTCCCCTTAATCAGCAATTCTGGAAGCAATCCACTATAACCAGACACCCTGCATCCTCTATCCTGCAACTCTAATCTGACTAATTACATCACAACACTGTTTTTAAGTTCTAAGCACTGCTCAATAGAGGTAGCCCCTGTCCTGTCATATTTTCTGATTCTGCAGGGTGAGTTTCTATTACAGAAACACTACAGGTAAAACTAGCACCATGGCAAGCCTGTACTTCCTCCTTGGCTGCCACCCTTTCTAAAGCCATCGAGCTCTGGGAACAACATCCATGTGCACAAAGGCACCACAGTGAATCCACCGTCTTCTTGGGCTGCCATCCATTGCTGAACCAAAATCAAACAGGAAAGCAGAGAACCTTTTTAGCTGTGGGTCAGGGTGATGAGCCAGAGGGATCTCTGTGGATGCTAAGTTAGGTGCTGCTGCACTGAAGAGGCACCAAGAAATTCGCCAAAAGCATAAGCAAGCACCAGGCTGACCAGCAAAACAAGCAAGAGCTGTGACCTGCGGAAGAAGGGAGGCACCTGCTTGTTGGGAAAAGTACCAGGGTAGTCAAACAACAATGCTGGAGGAAATATTTCATTTGTTTACTTTTTGGTAGCTTTTTTCATAAAACAGAAATTTTGTTGTGCAGAAATTGATTATGTAAATTTACCACCTTTCTGCCAAATGCAATCTTTCTGTTTATCATCACATTGTAAGAATCAGGTTTGAGGGAAGCAATTTTTTATACTAACTGCATCACTCCTTATTTCTTTTTGTTGTGTACCTATACTTGGCACAGAGGGAACATAATGCAATCTAATGCTTCATCATTTGAACTCTGATGGGACAAAGTGTAGTAGCAGAACTCACAAACAATAAAAAAATTAACTGATGATGATTTTAAGGGAGATTTTAAGCTATTATTTTCTCTGTATTTATGGCTTGGTTCTCCTTCAGTAAGAGAAATGTTTCAATAATATGATGAACCTGGAAAGGAAGAAAGGAACTAGAGAGCTAAATGGTGGTTATTGTTAATTTGGTATTTAAATCCTCCTTTTGAATCTCAGAAACTATTTAAAATTAACTTTAACAGATAAATGGTTGTAGTAGTTGGCACTTTCAAACAAACACACACAAAACAAAAAAAAGGAAAAAATTAAAATTGATCTTGGATTCCCAAATGCAGTCCCAGATTGAATTCTGGGCTTTATGGATGGCAATAACTACCAAACGTGCAACTGAATTAGTTCTGACATATCTCAAACTGGGTGTTTCCTACAGTCTATACTACTGGGAAGGCAAATATAAACATCTAAACTAAAATACATCATGACTACTGTTTGTGAAATGCATTAACTATATGCAGGTAACCAAAATTTTCCTCTCTTTACAGTATTTCAGGATAGAGAAACTGTGACTTGAGATATGTTATTTGACTCTATTATTTTAAACAAAATTATTTCAAAATTAAAGAAAAATGTTTCACATTTGTGAAGACATTTGGTGACATTTAGCTAGCTCAGCATCCTGAATTTCAGCCAGTTGAGGGCTGATTCTAAACCTACGTGTTAATGGATTGGAATATGGACATAGCATGGGGAGTGGTTTTTAAAGCAGCTTTTCATACTCTTAAGGAGGCTTCCCATTCACACCTCAGTGTGGGTAATTCCCTCTTCAATGGATTTAGTTTCAACATGTCATTTTCTCAACTCCAGAGCAGCTGGGTATTATAAGATTTCAACATGTAACAGCCAAGAAACAAACTACGCATTAAAGCAGGGAAGCTGTAGCTTATGCTAATTGTTTTACATGCTCAGATATGCAAATGACAGTGAAGTAGATGCTTCTCTTTTCTTCCTCTTTTTCTAGCTTCTCATCCTCCCTTCAAGTCTGTGTCAGGAGAGAAGAGCTTTCCCCTGTACCTAACTATTGTTTTCATGCTGGTATCTTTTGAATAGTGATTCCAGCCAATGACGATTGCTTTTGTAAAAAGATAATTACAAATCTGATTTTTGAAAGATTGAATCAAGCCTTAGCATGAGAAATATTTCTCTCTGTATTCCCAGCAGGATCACAGCTTGCAGGGTTCAGTGTACTCAGATCTCCCTAGTCAGTGTCAAGCCTTACATAGCCTGCACTGTGTTAATCCAGTCTATTAAATGTAACCTGTTCTAGTGGAAAGAGCAAGCTCATACCTCTCATCCTCCTGTTTTTCAGGTGGTAAGGTGAAGGTGAGAGGAAGAGAAGGTGGAGATGGAACTGCCAAATCATGCCAAACAACTGCTACTGCAGCTGAACCAGCAACGAGCCAAAGGTTTCCTCTGTGATGTGATCATTGTGGTAGAAAATGCCCTGTTTCGTGCCCATAAGAACATCCTGGCAGCCAGCAGCATGTATTTCAAATCCCTTGTCCTGCATGACAACCTGATAAACTTAGACACGGACATGGTGAACCCCACCGTGTTCCGGCAGATCTTGGACTTTATTTATACTGGCAAGCTCTTAACGACTGACCAGCCTGGTGAACAGAACTTTAATGCTCTCCTCACCGCAGCAAGCTACCTCCAACTGCACGACCTGGCAGCTCTCTGCAGAAAGAAGCTGAAGCGGAACGGCAAGTCCTTTGCTGGCAAGGCCGGTGGCCTTGGTGTTGGGAGATCTGCCAGGAGTCAGAGACTTTCCACTGCTTCAGTCATCCAAGCTCGCTATTCAGGGTCAAATGAGGGGTTGAAGGGCTCGCACTCAAAGGAGCTGTCAAAGGGAAAGCTCTCTGATGATGAGGTCTTCATCAGCAGCTCTAACCAAGAGAACTGTCACTCCTTAAGCAGGGGAACCAGCAAGAATGGTGGTGGGAGCAGCAGTGCGAATGGGAGCACCGGTGACCAGGAGCTAGGCCTTGACCTGTCCAAAAAAAGCCCCTCACTCCCTGTTGCAGCCTCCCACGATGACACGCAGCACAGCGAAAGCCAGCAGGGCTCTCCCCAATCTGCCTCAGCCCCTGCAGCCAACAGTGCCTCATCGTTCGACGAGTCTGGCGTCGGAGCCCCCCACAGCATGGCGGACAGCAGCGACCCCATGGAGATGGATCTGAGCGAGGAGTGCCACCACTCACTGACAGAGAGCAGCCAGCGCAAGGGCCTCCGGCACTCGTCCCGCAAGAAGGAGTGGATCAAGAAAGACAACGCCTTTGACCGAAAGGAAGGGGGCAAAGACAGGGACGAGGGTGAAGGGCTGCCCAATGGTATCCTGCTGGGGCCCTTGTCCAAGTCTGTGGAGAGGAGTCTGGCTGGGGCCTACGGGGCAGACCTGCCCTACCCATGTAAGGAGGAGGTAGAAAACGGTAAGGAGAACAGTGACGACAGTGGCCAGAGTGAGAGTGAGAGTGGCGGCCATACCAGTGCCAACTATGTCTACCGGCAGGAGGGGTTTGAGCCAGTGGCCTATGGTGACAACCTGTATGTCTGTATCCCCTGTGGCAAAGGCTTCCCAAGCTCTGAGCAGCTCAATGCCCACGTGGAAACGCACACCGAGGAAGACCTTTACATCAAGGAGGAAGGCACATACGGCAGCAAGGATGAAGCTGAGGATTTGTCCAACCCCAATCAGTCCTACGCTGCGGAGTCCCGGCCCTTCAAGTGTTCAGTGTGTGAGAAGAGCTACAAGGATCCAGCCACGCTGCGGCAGCACGAGAAGACTCACTGGCTGACGCGGCCCTTCCCTTGCAACATCTGCGGCAAGATGTTCACACAGCGTGGCACCATGACACGGCACATGCGCAGCCACTTGGGGCTCAAGCCCTTTGCTTGTGAGGAATGTGGGATGCGCTTTACCCGGCAGTATCGACTAACAGAGCATATGCGTGTCCACTCAGGAGAAAAACCTTACGAATGTCAACTGTGTGGTGGGAAATTCACCCAGCAGCGCAATCTGATCAGCCACCTGCGAATGCATACCTCTCCCACATAAGCCAAAGACTCCAGAATGAGCTTCAAGCCCATCCACGGTGATTTACTTTTCTGTAGACTTGCTGCTTAAAAAAAAAGAAAAAAGAAAAAAAAAAACAATAAAAAAGGGGGCAACTCCCCATACTCTGTTCAGTCATGAGAGGCCTAAACAAATGTAGCTTTAACATTTTAAAAAAAAGTTCATTTTTTTTTCCTTTTTTTAAAAAAAGAAAGGTCCACAGCCAAGCTGATGCATTTAGTCCCAGTCTCCCTTCAAATTTTGATGACCTGGCAAGAAATGCCTCTTCTTTTTGCACACATTGATTTCATTGCCATATTGCTTATTTGGAGCAGGTAGGGGGACCTTGGGGAACTTTCAGCCTCTGCTGGCTCCCCCTCCCTGCCTCTTTCTGTGTTCTTGTCACTGTACTCACTTCCTTTTAAAATCAAACTCAGTAGGGGTATTTCTTGCCATTAAAAAAAAAAACAAAAAAACACACCTTTTCAGTGGCCTAAGTAGCTGTGAAATAACAGCATTCTCAAGTGCAGAAGCTGTGTCTGTGGACCACCTCACAGGGTTGGCAGCCCCTCCAGAGACTGTGGGAAAGCCACAGCAGTGGTGGAGCCCACCCCTGTCCCCCTGGGCTGGCGATGGTGTGGGGGGCAGCTCTCAGGGCTGCACCAGTCCCAGTACTTCACTTAAACAAATGGCGAAGCCTACCTTACCATCCCTCCCCATTCTGGTTTTCATCTTTGTCCTTGGCACACATAACCACGTGCCACTTTCTCCCATAAAACATGCAAACCTCTTTTGCCTTACCCATGACTGAACAGGGACTGGATGCCCTGGGAATTTCTTTCAGTGAGCAGGGGGTCGTCTTTACTTTTCTAGTAGTTTCGTATGAATATTCTTTGCTTAGAGGTACTTGTTTTATTAAAGGAAAAACCATTGTAACGTTTATGTGAATGTTTGAACTGGAAGGTCTGAGGTTAATTCTAGGGTGGGTGGGTGGGGAGGGGGTTTGATGTAGGCTGGACTTGCTACAAGTTCCATAGGTACTTTTTTATTATTTTTTAATTTTATTTTTTGTGTGTGTGTATGTTTTTAGCTTTCCTCCCTCACTAAAGAGCAAGTTTGTGTGGACAGACTTGTTACCTTTGCTACCTCTTGAATTCATGAGAACAATAAGATGGTTAGTGAAAGATTAGGCATTTTTTTAATTGTAAGTAATTAAATGTATAAAAGTAGAAGTTAAATTAAAGTTAAGGGATTTTTACCACCCCGTCCTTCCATCAAAAGTCAACTAGAGAAATGTTAAAGCAAAGCTTGGCCAAAGACAAAGCAAAAAATACACTGAGCTAGAGGCTGTGTTGGCTGCTTGGACTGGCTCAATTTGCAGTCTCTTGGCTATCTGTAGTCACTTTTAGATAAAGCAGAAAACTTCTCTGAGCTTTTTGGGCCCTTTCCAGCTTTGTTTATTGAGTCTGGATACTATGGGGAGGGGAAAATGTCCCCCTCATCTTCCACTCCCCCAGCACATCTGGGTCAGTCTGTAAACACCTGGCAGGACAGAGGGTGAGGGTATAGCAGCCTATAATTTACTAGAATCCAGAGTGCAATAAGGTGGGGGAGAGGAGGAGAAAGCAAACCAAAGTGTTTCATATCCTCCCTTTTAGACAATTTAACACACGCACACAAAAAAAAAAAAAAAAGAAAAAATGAAAAGAAAAAGAAACAAAATGTTCTTGCAACATCTGCCTAAGACATCACAGCCAACAGCTGCTATTGGTTTAGGAGAGAAGACAGAGAACTTTGCCCACCGATTCTTGGCCCCCTTGACTTTGTTGGCGTGACCTTGTGGAAAGCTATGGCTTATTTCAAGCCTCCCGTGACTGTGGTGGTAAAAATTCACAGCCAGTAGAATCATCCCTTCTGAAATGACTAAGGTTTACACTTGCATTTTTTCATTTGTTGGTTTTTGGTGTTTTGTTGTTTTTTTTTTTTTTCCCACTCAAACCAGTATAGTCTCTATGCGTAAGTTTTACCAAACCTCACGTTTTGTCTTTTTTTTAAAAAAAAAAAAACAAAACAAACAATTTTTTAAAGTTTTGACCAAAAAAGAAAAAAGTGAGCATGTTTGACTAAAACAAAGACATATAAGCTTCATTTTCTATTGGGTTTTTTTTTTTCCTTTTTTTTTTTTTGTTTGTTTGTTTGTGGATTTTTGTTTCATTTTTTGGTTTTTGGGTTTTTTTTTTTTTAAGGTAGACTAGTCCATGAGAAGTTTTTGGGTCAATTGACTGAACTGAGGAAACTGGAATCCAGGCTCCAAGCAATAGACAACCCAAAGGCGCTGAGCCTTGGCCTGGTGTCAAGTTACAGGGAACACTCGCCCCTCTCCAGCCGCTCCCGTGTGCTTCTCCCAGTGCCATTGTCCGCTTGCTCCCGGACGCCTGCGAGCCCTGGAGCGCGGGAGGGATGCATGGACTTTTGGTTTTGTCTAATTGTGCTGAGACGCGCTGTTTTCTTTCCGGGGGTTAAATGGGCTTTTAGCGTCTTTAGCACTTCCACATTTTTAATATATATTGAATTAGATTCTTTGTCAACCCGCCCCCCCCACCTCGGATGTCCCCAAAATAGTCTTTGGGAAGGACAGGGAAGGCCGTGCCATCCACCTTGCTCTCAGAGGGAATCTGAGCAGAGCCAGGGACAGCTGTGAAAGATGAGTTCCTCGGCACTTTCACCCCGCCTTTACCTCCCCTCCAGCCACCCACAGCGGAGCTGACCCCGCTCCGGCTCCCCTTGGAGCCGGCCGGCCAAGGGCCCACCTCCAGAGCAGGGCTGAGCTCCGACAGCGGGGGCTGCGGCGGGCCTGGGCCCTGGCCGTGCTGCGGGTTTGGATGCGGCCCTGTCCCTGCAGTGGCGCTGGGGACGGCCGGCTGGAGCTGCCGGGAGTCACCGTGAGGCAGCGGCTCTCGCTGGCACCGAGGGAGCCGAGCCCGGGAGCAGCCCGAGGCACCGGCACGGAGCTCCTCAGCAAGCAAAGCCCTGCTCCCCCTCTCTTAATTCCATTTTTACATGTGTGTGGTGATGTAGCTTCTCCCCCTGCCCCCTCTTCATTTTTTCCTTAAGCCTTGAGAATTACGTTGAACTTTCAGGACCCAATGCTATTTTTTTTAAACTGTTTTTTGGAGCATCTTTTTTTTTTTTTTTTAATCCCCTCCCCAGCACTTAAACAGTACGACATAAAGTCTGTGTACAGCAAGAGTATTGTACAAAAGGAAATTATGTTCTTTTTTCAAATAGCTGTGTAAAGTTGTGTTCCATAGACTAAGTATAAACAACGTTTTCCAAATTGTGACAGTAATAATGAATAACTAATAATACTCAAAACTTCAGGGACTGTTTCAGGCCTGCTTGAGGCCTAAACACTCAACTGCATTTGTATGACATAGTATTGTATCAACATTTTTCTGTATTTTAATGAGAAAGCAAAACACTAGTTTCATATTTAAGATTTTAAGAGTTTTTTGGGGGGGAGGGGAGGGAGCTGCGTTTTTGGTTTTTTTTAAAATTTTATTTTGAATTTTTTTTTAAATACACAAAGAGCCTCAAGAGGAAAAAAACAATTTAAAAGGAAACAAAAAAAAAAAAAAAAAGAAAAAAGAAAAGAGGCCAGGCAGCTTAAGTATATGCTTTAGTCACTTAGTTCCAGAATGTTTTCGGAATAACAGGAAAAAAAAGATAAAATAGCAAAAGTTGTATAAAAGAATAAGAAGCTCATACCCAAATTCACAAAACTATTTTTTAAACCAAAGCACATTTGAATGAGTATGGAACCTCACTTGGCTCAGAAAAGTACTAATATATTTATCTCATTGTTTACATAAACTTTTACAGTTTCAGACCTCAACAGATCTAGGGGCCAGTCAAAATTAATCTTTGCTTTTTCCATTGGTTTGTCTCTGAAGGCTACGCAGTGTTCCCCAGCTTGGGAGGGGGAATCTGTGTCCCAGCCTGCATTCCAGCACTGCTCCGGGAGGGTGGGGAGAGGGTGGGCAATTAGAAATATGGCATGTAGAATTTTTTTTTCTTCAATCCATGAGAGATGTTGCTGGGAGTGAGACCCAGGCACTATTGTAGAGGCATTCCAGCCTCCCTCTTTCTCAGAGGAGTCTGAGGGAACCAAGAGGGTAAAGGGAGATGCAAGAAGCTCAAGAGATAAGAAAGGATGTTAGAAGATATTGAGAGCTGCTGTACCCAGCACATCTCCTTAACTTTAGCCATGGGGAGCTGGGCTGTTTTCCAGTCCTTTACTGCAAAACTTCCAAAACCAAATTCCTGGCAAAAAAAATCCCCAAAGGCCCAGTTCTGTGCACTTGGGGCTGTTAGCAGGAGCCACAAAGATCACAGAAGACACCAAAGAGCTACTGAGACGCAGCTTCTGTGAGGCTTTGCGGCCGCTGCCGCGGCAGAGCCCCGCCCGTGCCGGCCCGGCCCTGGGGGCACCGAGCGGCCTCATCCTGTGCGGGCTGCGCCGGGCTGGGCCGGGACCCGGGCTGGGCTCTCCGGGTCCGCTGGGCTCCCTTCATGGAACCGCCGGACTGATTCACTCCAGACCTTACAGTCCTGCACAAAGAACCCAACCAAAACTCCTAAGGCTGCCTAGGTGGAAACCTAAGCCGATCTGCATGGTAGAACAGTTAAAAGATGACTAATGAGGATGGTTTGCTAAAATACCGCTGAAGCCAAAAATAAAAAGGTTTAAGAAAGCTCCCCATCATTAGTCTTGACCCTTTGTAGCTTTTACCTTCTACACCAAAGCCACCTCAAACATTTGAAGGGGGGCTGATGGAAAATGAAATATTAATTTTGCCTGGTCTTAATATCTAACAAAGATGGTGCAAACACTATTTGACAGTGTTGTTTTTGTATCAATATGTATGTGCAGTAATGAATGTATTTATTTCTCAGATTCTGTATGCACAGTTTTGCAATGTAATTCAGAAAGTTGCAAACACAAAGATGTGTCTGCAGGGTCTTCTCTACAGGATTTCAAAAAAAAGAAAAAATATATTAAAAAAAAAAAAGAAAAAAAAAAAGAAAAAAGGAATCTCAGAGACTCAGCATAGCCATAAACCATAACCTGTGAAGACAATACAAAGACTGGACTTTTGTAGCTTTGCATAGAAGAGGAATTTATGTTTTGCTGTATTTAAATGTTTCAATTTACAGTGTCACTCTTATAAGATTCCTGTTTTGGTTTTTGTTTTTGTTTTCTTCTCTCTCTTGTGTGTGGAAAGCATTGTTTTCAAGCAGTGCAGGTTCAAAGTCTGGGTTAGCAGTATTTTACCATGTTGCTTCAGTTCTGAAAAGCAGGAATATGGGTCTTGACCAGAGGAACATCCAGTACACTTAATGGAACAAAATGAAATCAGAGGTGACTGCTGGCAAAATCCAGAGAAGGTAAAAGTCACTTGAGGAATAGCTGTGTGCTTCTGATTGCAGCTTGTGACTGAGACAAGTCTGTTGTCCTGCCTGAAGGACAGGATGTAGCTCCTTTTTAAAGTGTCCATCATCCCTCACTGTTTACTGTGGTAGCAATAAGGATTTCAGAAGTGGAGAGTCGAGGCCTGGGATGGGCAGAGGAAGCTCCGTGCCAAAGCCCACAGCCTCTGTGCCATCTCATGGTGGGCCTTGCAGACGATACTGAAGCATCAGGTTCGCCACAGCACAGGGGGGCTCGAGCCCCTGGGAGAAGCTGTGCTTTGCAAAGCCTCTTGTTGCAGTATTGGTGGAGTCAGCACCTACTACAGCCTTACAAATTAGCATGAAAAAAGGATGTTTGCTGATTTCTGGATATTTGCCAAATTCTGAAACCTTTCCAATCAGCAGTACTGGAGTTAAGGGAAAAGCAAATTAAAAAAACAAAGAGACAAAACCTCCCTACATTTTAATTTGGTTTAAGAGGCTCTAGGTAGCAAACACCAAGCTGTCCCCAGACAGCAGAAATGCTCATCATTGACATGGCACGTTCGGATAAACATTTGTTTAAGCAGGAATTTAAAATCTAAATGAACCCAGAGCTGTAATTCTGGAATAATTAAAGAGACTTTGGACATTTTTTTCTTAGTTTTTGTTTAAGTAATTATTTGCTCAACATCAGTAAAGTCTCCATTTACTGTAAAATCCTTTCTTTTTATAAGTAAATTATTGCACTCCAGAACTGGCCATATTCTTGAAAAATAAAATGTAGGGGTTTCTTTCAATACCTGAAAGTAGCCTTTTGCAGTGTTTTAAGTCCCATGGTACTTTATGATCCTGATTTTGGTGCAGGAGACAAGCAGGCAAAAGGAAAAGCTGTTTCTCAGCCCCTTTCCACTCCTCATATTTTGCATTTTTTCAGAGTAGGGTAAGAAATTTCACCTTTGATTACTTCCTGTTAGACTCACTATATTTGCTGCTTTCCTTGCAAAAGGAAAAGATTTGTGAACCCTTGTAAGGCAATTCCAGCTCTGCTGTAAGGCTCCTAGCTGGTCCTCCAAGTCAGGAAGACTCCTTTGTTTCAGCCCTGGTTCATCTTTCTGCCACATCAAAACTGCTGTTTATTCTGCTTTCCTTGTTTTAACTAACAACTCAAAGATCCTGAAACATAAGTTTGGAGAGAGAAATGCTTTTTCATTCCATTGTCTCCTATTGCCACCATCTTCTTTCCTCTTTCCCTAATTTTCCTGAGCATTTTGAAGGCCAGTGTTGAACACAGGGATCAGGGGATCCCTGTTTTTGGAACAGAGCAGTCCCTGTGGCATGTGATGGGACAGGTCTGAACCACCACAGCTGATGTGGCATTTGTTGGCAGTTAGGGACCCACTTCACAGTGCTGCTTTCTCTGAGGAGTGGGGCTGGTTTAAACTTCCTCTGTCACAAGTTACCAATCAAAGCACTCTGAGTACAGCTGTTCCTCTGACCTTCCACAGGACTTTTGACTGGCTGGGGATAACTTTTCTATGAGGAGAGGATCTTGTTCTGGCTGGCTGGATATTTCCCCCCCCCTTTTTTTTTTTAAATATTTTTGATGCAACTGAGAAAGGGATGTTTCATCACCCCTTTTGGTTTTTGTTTTTTGTTTGTTTGGTTTTTTTTTTTTCATTTTAAGCCTTAACTATCAGTCAGCCTGGAAGCCCTGGATGTTTCCTGGGGAGGGGGAAAGTAGGGAAGGTCAAGGGAAAGGCCAACATTCCTGCTGCAATGTTCTGTTCATTTCCTTCAAGAGCTTGAATTCAGGTCAGAGCCACAATAGTTGTGGCTTCAACTCAAGTGTCATATAAAAAGATACAGAAATTATAATATGATCTCAGCATTCAGAAATTTGCAGTCTTAATGTACAGTGATGAGAAACTGTTATTTTATGATCTTTTCATTAAAAGCTTGATTGAAAAATTACATCTCTTGCTCTAGAGTTCACCTTGTTCCTATAGCTGACTCTCTCCATGTTTTCTCTTCATTTATTCTTGCCCACGGATCTGAACCAGTTACTTCACAGAGACCCCCCTCACATACACAGCCTAAAAAAGGCACTCAACCTTGCATTTCATGCACCTTGACACTTGGCTCATAAGCCAAAATCTGACACTTGTTAGAATATAAGAAAGGATGAATTGTGTGGGCCAGGCAGGCACACAGAAACAGTGCAGGCAATGGATAATGGACCAATCATGATTTCACTTTTTTTGTTGTGACCCTGAGCAAGATGAGGCTGATTTTGAAAAGTTATTCCCGTTTTGTCCTAGCCACAGTCTGAAAGCAGCATTTGCCAGAGATAATAGATGGTAGGTGGACCTGCCAATCCATAAATCCCTCCAGACTATTTAGGCTCTAAGTGTAACTATGAGGAGCAGCAAGGAAGCTGAGGCAGAAAAGTTTCCTATAGTTCTCCACCCACCTATGGTGCAGGTAAAAGGGGTAAATGCTTTCATGGAAGATTAATGCAACTGATGACAGAAGCACCTACTGCAGATTACAACCCCTCCAATGTTACAATTCAGTAATCTTTCCTTGGCAAGGTTAAATGTGACCCTAGCAAAATTAATTCACATTTCCTGAACTTGGGTTCTAAATAGTATTTTTTTGGGTTCCCAGGCCAGTTTTTTTGATCTAAGAATTCTTTAGTAAAATACCTGTTTAATTGAAACAAATAAAGTATCTTCATTACACTGCAAGCCTAATATTTTGTAGCACTTTGTAACACTACTCATCAGCTCAGTTGATTCACAGCTCAGTGCTGTTTCTCCCAGAGCCCGGTAGAATGCTGTAATATGCAGCAGAGTAACCCTGGTGTTGAATTCATATAGTTCATTTTTTTCTTTTAACACAATGCTGACTATATTTTAAAGTGACTGACTGAAGGAGTCTCAAGTTTAGTCAGTTTTCTGACAGGTTGCAAAGTCAGCAGCACTGGCAAGAAAATAATTTTTATTTGTCCTTGGAGATGTGTTTTACCCAGCAAGGTTAAAGAGAAGGACAAAAATGAACAGAAAAACAGATGAAGAGCTACAGAAAACCAGAGGCTGTTTTTCAACATCTCAGATGTGGTAATGAGCCTGCAGTCTTTTCCTAGCTACCAGTAATTTTTTCTGGTTTTTCCCTTTTATTTCTAATTTCTTCTGGAAGTTTTTGCTTCCTGGCTCCCATTTCTCTGTGGCATAAGTGGTTTCTAGCATAGTTAAAAGATTGCATGTTCTATTTTACTTTCTTTGCCTTGGTCAGCTCCTTTTCATCTCATAAGATCTTGTAACAACTATACAAAATTCTTCATACAGTAACTCCCAACTGAAATGCAGCTGCCTCTACAGTGGAACACTGAAATATGTACAACTGAAGTGCAGAGTGCAGGATGTAAAGGATACCAGATATGTCTGGAATGCCTGGGAATTTGTACTTTCTTCCCTCTGCTTTCATTACCCCCATTTATTGGTAGGAATTCTTTTCTCCCAAAGCCACATTCGCTTGCTTCCTCTCCACTACCCTTCTCCCTCTTGAAGAGCAGACACTGGGTCAAACCTTTGAATAGGTTTGGTTTTTGCTTTTGGCAGGAAATATTTCATCAAAATTGGAACTTTTCCATGGGAACAACTTTTTTTTAATGAGATTTTGTTTTAGCCGCTGTTGTCCCATTTGGACTCTGCTGAGTAGATAAAGATGGAGAATGTTTGTTTGTTTCAAAAGAATCATCATGACTGGTACTACATTAAGAAGTTAAAAATGAAGGAAATTTTTTTAGTAAAGAATAATTTCAGGTCAGTGAAGGCCAAAAGACTAGCATCTCACTTTGCAAATTATTTCTAAAATATGCCTTCATCCTGCTTTGTATTGAAAATAAACTGAAGCACTAGAGATTTCATCTGCAAGTAATACTACATTTTCAAAAGGCCTAGGACTGCTGAAGCAGTTACTTACTATTAATATTGTGTGTCTGAGTTTTATTTGTCTGGATGTCTTGCAAAGTTGTCCAGGTTTTAGCAAATTGATTTTGTGTGCACTTGTCACAGCCTGCTGTGTACCAAGTTTAGTGTGACCTGGCTTAAACCAGTAATAGTTAAAGCAGGTGCACTGCCATAGCAAAATGCATTGTTCTTTGTCTTGTTCTTTCCTTGTGCTGTGGGAGGCAGCTCCTGCAGTCCCCCATAAACTGCACCTGAAGAATCAAACTGGATCTTCCACAGGAGAGGTTGGCTGCTTTTAGCCGAGCCTTAAGTCTCTCACCCCTTCCATGGGATGTGTTTATCACACTCAGCTCCCAGCTCAGAACCATAAATACTCCAGTTTGCTATTTGGAACAAAATTGCTTCTCTCTGCACCTCCTCTGGGCACTGCTCTTGCTTAAATTCTGCGGTTTCCTTCCTGCTACAGGTCACCATATCACATCTTCCTTCCTTTCTTCCCTTCATGGCTCTGTAGCAGTGATCAGTTTTGGGTTTGCTTTTTTGCCCTGCAGTTGTACTGTCTTAGTGATGAACACTGTTGGAAGCTGCTGCAGAACAAGGTTTGGATCCATATGTTTCAGCTCAGTAGCTGAGCCAGTTGTAAGAAAGCACGATCTCCCTGCAGTTACAGTGCAGCCACAGCTCCAACACTGCAGAGTAAAGAACATCCATCATACTGTCTTCTGCTGTTCCAGGTGCTAAGAACAGAGACCAATGTAGCTGGCATGTATCAGCCCAGAAGGTGATTCATGGTGCTGCCTACTTCCTTTGCTTCTGCCTTCTCATCATTGTGCCCCTTTCTTTTTAGTGAGGAGAGATGTTGTTGCAGGGCTCTCTCAGCACAGAGGATAATTTTTTCGATAATTTGGCTCTGAAGCAAAGGCCTAATTCTTCCCTCTCTGTTCTTGCCCATTCTCTCCTTCTTGTACACAATAATTAGATTTAAAAAAACCAGAGAGGATCCCGCACCCCTTGTCTCTGGATCAGACTCAGCTGGTTCCTTTTCATTAGAGATTTGAATTTGATAAAAATTAGGAACTCTTCCAGAAGCCATGCTTAAAGCAAGCAGCATTTTAGACTAGTAAAATCAAGACGCAGTCTTTCCTTGATTTCAGAGGACAGCAGTGGCACAGCAGATTCTAGCTCTAAGATCTTTTGGTCAGTCTCCCTTCACAGTCCCCAGTCAGGCCCTGGGGATTCAGACACAGGAACCTGGCCAGACAACATAACCACATCCTCTGGCTCTGGCTGCAGGGAGCACTTTATGAGCACTAGGCAGAACTGAGTTTCACACCTGGGTAGATGCTGCTGTTCTGCAGCCCTACAGAGCTCTGTGCCTTTGCAGTAACAGGCCTGGCTATTCAAACACCATCTGGGACTGGCCAGACAGATCTGACTGCAGGACAGTGGTGAGAGCAGCATCACCAGATGTCAGTTTTCAGCCTCCCAAGCATCTGTAAAACGTGCAAAACTAAGCTCTGGGTTTCTAGCCTTGTCACCAGAGGCTCTTGCTACCCCCATCACCAGGCAGCAGCCTCCTGCCAAGTCCAGCTGGTCCCCTTGCCACAATAGCAGCCAAAGGCCAGCCAGAGAAGATTGCACAACCAGGCCTTGATCTGTATTTTCCACTGCTCAGCCAGAAAACCCCTCCTTTTTTCCAGCACAGCTGTTTTCCATCTCTGCTCAGGAAACATGCCCTGTTTTTGATTCCTGGTCTTGCTTTATGAAGCAATCATGGGCAGGCTGTCTGGGTGGAATGGGTCACAAAGTAGTGGATAACTCTGGATTCTCAACGCCAACACAAAACAAAGGGGAGCTTTGCCAAGGCTCAGGTGAGCCTGGGGTCAGCACACAGACAGGCTACTGACGTAAACACGAACGCAAGGTTTTCTTTCTCTGGGCTGCAGTGTTTGAAATCCCCCCCCTCCTTTTCCTCTCCTGCCTGCTTGCCACAGCCTTTTCCTGGTTAGACCCATGGTTCAGTAACAACATGTATGGGTGATGGTGTCACTGTTTTGCTACATCTTACTCACATAAACTCCTAGACCAGGGTGGCTGTTGTTTGTAAGCTGCCAGCCTTGTACAGCTCAGTTAATAAGCTGCCAGTTTGTTCCCTTCTAGGCATTTTGGGTGACAGTATCAGAACATGCAGCTACAGCTTGGTGATGGCAGCCCTGCTGTTAAAGACACTTTAGCCCGTGGCGCACACAGAGGGTGGTGGGGTGGCAGACAGTGCTGGAAACCCAGGATGAAGTGCAGACCCGGATGTGGTCCACTCAGGAACACCAGCAGCCAGAAACACCCTAGCATTGCACTTCTTGGCTCCCTCCCCAAAACACTGGAAATTAGCCAGCTCCCTGGTCATATCGACCTGGAAATTAGCTAGCTTCCTCAAGGGTTAAGGCATTAATGTTAACACCATCTATATTAACTAAAAATAATATGTGTGCAAAAACATCTGAGTTACAGCTGTTACAGGAGTCCTACCTTGCCTTTTCTGAGTCCTTCACATGTGAAGTGTGGTCCTGTAGAGCAAAGACCTATGAAGTGTCTTTTATGCTGGAAGGGGTAGAAGGGGAAGTTACAATGGACTTACTTGGAGCTCACACAGAGATGCTTCAGAACAGGCTTTGTGATCACGAAGGGCAGATCAAATGATGGAGGAGGCTGAGCACTTATTCTTTTTAAATTTATTTTTTCTGTGTAGGGTTGGGCTAACAACCAGCTGGGTACTGTGCCTCTAGGTAGAGGAAACACAGAAAAAGAGAAGGGAAGCAGAGTTCTGCCTCCATTTCTTTTATAAATTTACATTGATCAGTTCCTGGCCACTCTAACTAGTTTATGAGGATCCACACAAAGGACTTAGTGCCGTAAGAGGAAGGATTCAAAAACCATGGAATTGAATTGTTGCTGCCATCACACAAGCCACAGCCTGCAGGAGCAGCAGCAGCTGATGTGGGCAGCAACTCGGGAATCTTTCACTATAGCTACTTCTTTGCTTTTCAGTGGGAGTCTTTGTCACAGGACTGGGGGTGCAGTGGGAACTGGAGGAGAGGAAGGAAAGCAAGCAGGCTTAAAGCTCTGTAGCAGTGCAGTGCAGACCTACCAGCTGGTTCTTCCAGTCTCAGGACTCACACCAGACCATGCAGTAGCAGTTTAGGATGTGTACAAACACTGGTAGGAGGGAGAGATTCCAGCCCTTGGTGTAAGCTCTGCCCTAGCCTGGCTGCACAGCTTTGCTCACAGTGGGGAGGTGTGTATCTGCCAGGGCTTGTCACAAACTCCCCCTTCTGACAAGGGATGTGAGGTTCCTCCTGTCCTTTGCTGTATATGTGTACACACAATACAGTCTGTGAGCATCTTGTCCTGCTTCCTCAATTTGAAAGCAAAGGTCAGAGGGATCTACATTATTTTAAAGAGCATTTAGCTTATACTTCTGAGCTTCTCACAAGATGGGTACCTTTCAAGCCTCCTGACCACTGTGACTGCTTTCTGCAGAGACAAACTGACTTCCCTTGACTCACTGGAGTGCCCACCTGTGCTCACTGCACTTTTGCCCTGCACAGTACTGCTCCACCAGCTGGCATACTACAGAAGACCTCTGACTACAAAGCCCAGACCAGTTCCTGGTCCACAGCAAAACGGTAATACAAGTAAAACAACAATTTCCAGATAAAAAGGTAGGCCAATAGTAGCTCATGCAGTCTGTGGGTCACACCATCCCAGCAGCATGGCCCTTTCACACCCCTAGGAACCAGTGAAGCAACATTCTTGAGCAACAAAGGGAAGCATGACACAGTGGCACATAAAATGAACTTGTTATACTTCTTCCACTGTCATATTCTTTCTGCTGGGCTCTGATTTAACCTTATCTCCAATGCCAGTACCTTGTCTTTACCTTCATCCCCATTCATTTTTACAGTGTCATTTTCTTTTGCATGAAGCACAATTTAAAAAGCTTAGGGAAAAGAAAGATTTGCTTTGTTTTGATGCCAAAGCTCAATATTTTTCTTTTTTTCCCTTTTCAGTTTTCTAGTCTAAACAAGAGATGACATACCTTTTGAAAAGCAGCTTTCCTGAGGTGGCTTGTGCCCTGAAAACATATACAACTGGAAGTTCCAGTGCTCCAGAGCAGCTGTAGGTATTTTTACTGCCCTCGTGTAGCTAGAAGAAGAGTTGGATCCCATGCTCTATGGCTTCAGTCTTCCCTAGAAAAGGCAATACATGAAAGCATCAGCATCTTGAACAGCCCTCCTTGACATCTCAGTGAGTTTACTCTACTGAGATATTCAGAAAGGTGATGCTTTGACAACCTGATCTCAAATCATACAGTATAGCAGTAAAGGTAAGAGATCTCTTAATATTGCAAGTGCAAAGCAAAGCACAAAGTTTCTCCAAGCCTTCTGAACAAAAAGACCTATTTCTAAAATTTTGTGTAGTGACTGGTTCTCCCTGCCTCATTAAGGCTGGAGAAAGGAAGAATTAAAGTGCATTTCTTTTATATGAAGCAAATCAATGCACTGTCAGCTGCTGGAAAGCACTAAGTTCTTCAGACAGCCTCGAGATGCTTGAAGGGATGATCTGTGAGTACATACAAAAATATTTGCAAGCAAACTATGAAGCCTGTTACAAAACCAGAGAGGTTTAAATTGTGCTGGCCTTCAAAGAAGGCCTCTTCTGAGCAAAATTAAGTAGCATCCCATCTAAACCATGACTGCCTGTGTCACTTTAAGCTGATGGAATCAAACATGGGAGTGAAACCATGCAGTGGGAGGGAGTCTTTGATCGTTTATTTAGCCTATTGTTCTTTGGTACCTGTTACAGCCAAAGCACTCCATCAGGCAGCCATGGGGATGGCTGTTTTAGAAGTGTGCATAGCAATAAGAAGAGTTAGCAAAGCTATGTCAGGTAGCTCTAGTCCTTATCCAATTGAGTTCTGAAAATGTGCAAAGATGGAGCTTTCAAACTCTTGCTGAACTACCTGTTCCAGTGTTTAACCCACTCCACTGTGAAGTCCTTTTCTGTAGGTTGAGGAGTTTGTCTAGAATGCCACCATTACACTTTTCTCCCTAATATGATGTGTGGAGGCTCCAGACCATCAGGAAAATCTCCCAGTCACAGCAGTACAAAGGGAGTCTGCAATGCAATTATGCATGGGCATACAGGCTGCAGGGGCCCAGGGGTCTGGAGTTGACAAAAGGCAGGGGAACTGGCTGGGCCTTGTCTTTGTCTCTCAAGGCCTGTGCCCAGTGTGCTGCCAACCATGTTTTTATCAGCTTCTTTCCCCTCCTTTCAGACATTAGATAATGGTCTGAAAAAGCCTTCCCTCTAGAGATATCCTGGTCTCTGCTGCTATGCAGCTAGCCACCTCTTCCTCTCAGATTGTCAGCCTAGGACTGTGAACAAGCCCCATATAAAAGCTGCAAAGAGCAATCATCCTCTTGTTCAGGTCTCCAGCTTATTATGGAGTGGCTTTGTGCAATGCTGAAGGCAAAAACAGGGCATGGATGCTGAGCAACAGGTGTGGTATGGCACAGAGTGAGAGAGGGCCTGAGAACAGTCATAATGATGAAGGCAAGGGCTGCCCCTCTTTGCCTCTTGGGCAAACTGAGTCTTAATGACTTGATGTGCTTTTACAGTTTCAAGTACAGGGAAATCCATATTTAGAAAGTGGCAATAGGAAGAATTCAACTAATGCCATCATATCTGCTTCCACTCTGCCTTAAAGAGTACATGGGGCCTTGCTTTCCTCTGACAAAAGGGTTAGGGACTGGACTTGTATTAAGTTTATTCTCCTGGCTTTGAAAGGCTTAGTTATAGTAGGGCTGAGAGCCAAATGCAACTCTGTCTTGAGCTGTTCCTTCTCCTCCCCCACTAAAGAATGATCTTTAAGCTCTGGACCCTCATCTCCACCCAAAATGACTGCCCTGATTTATTTAATGCTTTTTTGTTGTTTCCTTTTAAATCACTCCTAAGCTAAGCTTTTGTTTGCCAAGTTTTCAGCCTGGAGCAAATTTTTGCAGTCGAATTATAACCTCCTCTGCTTCCATTTGAAAAATAGGTGTTTTTCTGGATAGGCTGCTGTCCCACCCATTACTCACCTTGCTGCTGGGAGGCAGGGGTGATGGCAATCTTTTTAAATACCAGCATCTGAAAATTCAGTGTCACAGGCATGGGCACACATCTGGTTAAAGAATTTCCTTTGTATCTTGGCTCCAAATCCTTGGCTGAGACATCTCATGGCAGTAGATGTGTCCAGGGAGCTGAGAGGGAGGGAACAAAGGACACAGAGTGGTTAGGTTTCTCAGAAAGGGAATGGCTGTGGGCTGAGTATAAAGAAATGCCAGGAGCAGAGAGTCTGCTCTCTCAGCACGTTACAGGGTTTGGCTCTCCAGGGCAGTGTGAGGTTCACCCACACTTGAGAAGGCGCCTCTAAAGCACAGGCTGCAGAAAGCAGAAGACTGCTGAAGCCATGCCTTCCTCTGAAGGAGCAAATGAGAGATGGGCTGAAAAGGTGCTATGACCTGGAGGCTGAGGGAGACTTGCAAACTTTTTATCCTCAGGGATTTTGGTTTCACAACTTAGAACTCAGCAAAAGCCTAAAAATCCCCGTTCAGCTGCTAGTGAATTCCCAAAGCTGATTTTGAAGCCAGAAAGGTTCTGGAGAAGATGTTTTAAAGCAATAAACTTCATCTCCCCAGCTGCCTGCTTTACAAGTGGGATCTATTCCCTCCTACTTACTCAGAGCATGACTAAAAATGCTATCTGTGGTCTAGGATAGGGTGTGGAAGGGTGCAAGTAGGAAGGGAATAAGACATATTTGATGGGGAATTCCCTATGGATGTGTCAGATCAGGATTTAAAGGCTTTTGGTGGATTAAAAAGGTTTCTTGTACAGGAATTGATGCCCAAATTATTCTGCATTATGACCTTTTATTATTTTTATCAGCTTATTTCCCCTCCTTCCACAAGATCAGTTAACAAGCAGTGGTTGCCTCTCTCACTCCAGGGAGATTGCCTGCCTTTCCACCACACGCCCTCTCTTAAGGAATTGCTTCATGTTAGGAGCCACTTTTTACACATGTTGATGTTGGCAGTAAGTTATATGATTGCAGGGCACAGGTCTTTTAGACAGGCTGTTGACAAGGGAGAAGAACAATCACAAACAGAATAACAACAAAAAGGCCAATTCTGGTACTGAGCTTCCCTGCAAAGAGCAGGGCTGGACCCAGGACTAACGCTGAACTTTGTGACATCATCAGATGTGAAAAGCTACAAAAGATGGTGCATCATACCTTGTGAGACAGTCAAAGGGTCAGAAAACCACAAGGTAAACGAATTTCTCTTGCTTTTTAAGACTTAGTAACTAGAGTGGGGGACATTAAGAGTAACTTCTTCCTGCAGGCAAGCTCTCTGCTGCATATGAACTCCCACTGTTTAGGGAGTCACAGAAGCTGAGGACAGAAAGACTTTCTGGTCTATCCATCTGCTTGCCCCAAGGCAGGTCAGCCTTGTCTGCCATCCTTGACTGAAATTTTTATACTGTGTTTTAAATATTTCCTTCATAGACCCCCACAGCCATCTTTGCATCTTTCCTTATTATTTTTTACTGCTGTAAAGGTTTTCTTTTCCAAAAGCCTTGCTGTAGTTAAAAATTCTTAAAATTTTATCCTATATGTTCTGGACATGGAGAACAAATTATACACATTCTCCTTGTATTATCTGTATTGTCTCTCCAGCCCTTTATTACTCCATGATGTTATCACATTTCTCCTTCGTTCTTCTTGTTTAAGAGCCCCAGGCTCTCTCAGTTCTCCCTTTCTAAACCTCCTAGATGGTCTTCTCATATCTTCAGGCAAATGCCAAGCTTGTTATGTGAGAGAGAATGGCACAGCCCCATATTTTAGGGCAGGGGCTGAAGTGTAGCTACATGCAAAATTATCTGAAATAACTGAGGTAGCTTAAAAATTTCAAACACCCTTACAGTAGAAATCACTAAGAGTCTGTCTCTGTCCTCTTTATTCCTCCCAACAACTATTTATACACATCAGCTAATCATATCCAACTCCAAAATCCTTTTTGTCTTTTATCTCCTCCCCATGTCTTTTTCCCATTAATACCTGCTCTGATCAGCAAAGCAGATTCCAGTTTTAGAGAGCTGCCAGGGAAACACACAGCAAACCACTCAGGTGTGTCCAAGTATTTGCTCCTGTTCTGATCATATCTACATGACCAAACCTTGTTGTACTTCCCAGTAACAAAGAAGCAAGGATGAAGGCAGCAGAGCTATCAAAGGCAGCATCAGAAAAGAGGGATGAAGAACTGCTCTACTCATTTTCTGTATCACAATTTTGACATCCCTTTAAAAAGACACGCCCCCCCTGTATTTCTTACCCAGCCTCCAAACTACTATGCCAGCTTTTCCAGGGAAGGACTACAGTAGAGATAAGATGGGAAAAAACTCCCGCTCCTCCCTCCACTCTCAGTTCTCTGCCAAGAACCCAAAAATTGCACTAATTTGACCTTGCCAGACTTTTCAAGGAAAAAAAATTATGTGGGTCTCTGCCATTATGCCTTTACATTTAAAGTCTGCAGCCCTTCAAAGATGTAGGCACTTGCCTGGCTTACACTGCTCACATCAACATGATATGAATGAGCCACAGGCAAAGCAGGGCTGGGACATGCATCCTTTGCAAGGGTTGTTGGGGAGCAGAAGATAATCACAAACCTCTCTCTCCCCACAAGGTGAAAAGCTTTTCAAACCATGGACACTCTGGACTTCCCCCTTGTCTAAAACCTCTTTTTCCCTGGAATATTTATCTTTCCTACATTTCCCTTCAGTAATAATCTAATCAAGTAGAATTCTTCTGGTATTAATCAGATGAGCAGGGGAGCACTTTGTGGTTAATATTATCAATTGAGGATGTGAGGAAGGCTTTGACAGGATTACCCTTGGAATTTGCCATTTATTAACTAGGCCATTAGCTAAAATGGCATGGCTGGGGTGGGGCTGGTTTTTCTTTGCACAAGGGAGATGTCCTGGTTGAGGGTGGGGAAGCTGAGGGTGGTGGAGTTCTGTCTCCATCTGATTTGGAGATCTCAAACAGCTGTCCTGGCAGCCCTGAGATATCTTTCTCCATCTGTGCACCTTTCTTTGATTTCATAATCTCTTCCCATTATTGGGAAACCATCACAAATGAAGCTGGAGACTGAGCTAGGAGAGCTTGCACCACCACGCGTAGGTTTGTGGTCCTGACCTGGGAGGACAGGAATGAAACCCTGCTGTTACAGGCTGTTCTGCTATGGGAGGCCAGAGAGAAATGCTCCAAGCCCCTAGCCCAGGGCACCAGGAAGGAAAAGCTAGGTTTAGAAACAGAGGCATATTAGACTTGCAGAAACAGCTGGCATACAAGGCACATGCAAAAGTTCAGGCAAGTGAGGAAAACAAACCAAAGAATTTGTTAAAAAATGTATTTTCTCTCCTTGAAATTTAGCGCTGCTCTTTGCACAAACAGACAGATGGATACCCATGGTCAGGTAATGGAAGAAGGAGGGTCTTGAAATCTCTGTATGATTTGTAATTTATAAATTTCCTAGCTCACAAACCAAGATTTTGAGTTAGCCCTTTACCATTCATTCACCACAAATAGAATTAACTGAAAATTTAACAGCTACTCCATAACTTCTCACATTGCCTGTGGAAAAACCTATCAACTTATGTCTCAAAGTGCAGGTGTAAAATTCCTGCTTCTCAATTTGTTCCAGCAACTGCTCTGATGAGGGAACATCTCAGAAAAAGTATTTCTTCACCAGATACTTTGCAAAAGTATGGCTCTGAACCCAAATTCTCTATACCAAAGTAATCTTCTTCACCTTAGACTTAGTCTTCATTTAGAAAGAAGGTTATGGGTTCTCCTTGAGGCAGTTTGCTCCAAAAATGTCCACCCAAAAGATAAATGAAAAGCCAAAAAAATGTCAATAAAAAATAGAGACTGAACCTGGCAAAACTGCTGTTGATATTCGGGAGCAGAAACCACATGCCTCTTGCCTGAACAATTTCCAAACCATAAATGATGTTTAATGTGGAAAAAGTCATAAATGTACAAAAGTTACTTCTAAAACCAAAAACACAGAATTTCTTACTTATGGCTTTGATGAATGAAGTGTTTTGTATTCTGGCGCCATGCTTGGCACTCTAAAGAGCTTTTCTGCTAGCTGGAAATTAATGGCACTGCATGTTGGCATGTCCACTGGCTTTGCAGCAGACTGGAGAGTGCCCTTCAGGATCCCAACACAGGCTGTCTCTGTTGGCTGCTCGGCAAGGTGGAACATGTTCTCCTTGCATCAGTCGTATAGCACAAAAAAGGGTTAAATAATACTAAAAAGACTTTAAATGGTGCTGTGCATTATGTTCTTTTGTGCTATTGGCTCCTACCTGTCTTTCAGCTACTACTGTCCAATTCAGGAAGAAACAATGTGTGAATAAATCACGCACAAACCAGAAGCGACTCACACAAAGCAAAGCAGATTAAGGTATTTCAAAGGACACAAGAATTAAGGAAACAGTGCTTTAGTCTCTTGTCTGGTACTGTTGATTTGCAGACATTTCCAAGTGTGTTCCAAAACTATATTTAAAATTAAGCTTTTAAAGTAAACAGTTTTCACCGGGTGCCAAGATTGCTTTAATACTAGAACAGAAAGCTCTGTATGACACATGCATAATTTTCCAAGCCGGAAATATAACAAAGCATTTAATACAACAGACATCATTTGATAGTCTCAACTTATACTCCCACTTGGCAGTGGCAGGAATCAGTCTTCCATCAGCTGCATCCAAAAATGATGCTTGCCTAACTTGTTATCATGCAAAACATTAATGGGAGTATCTTCCGCTTTTGAAGTCCCCTGGAAATGGAAACATAGGCTGAAAACTGCCTGGTACACAACCATGCAGAACATCTGAGAACCCTTTCCAGGTGGAAGCAGACAGAAAAACACAGGGAAGCAGAGCTTTGCAGCCTTTTCTGTACTGTGAGTCACATCATGTACACACAGGGGATCACTGTGGGGACCATGGGGAACACAAGGAAGCAGAGCCAGTAACTATTTTATGGAACAACCATGCTGGAAGAAGTCAGCAAGCCTGTAGCTGCCCGGTCAGCTCTCCAAAGGCAGCTGCTGGCTGGTCAGCACACACTGTTCTGAGAGCTATCTGCTTTCTTTTTTTCCCTACCACTGGTTATTTTTGCGTTATGCAATCCCAAACTTTAGTACAAGGATCTTATTATCTTC